TGTAACCTGTGCAATATTATAATTTAACTTTAAATCATATCTGTATAATCTGTATACAGTTTGTACTTTCAACCCCAAATCTATTTTTTCTTGATATCTTGTATTTTTCTATTTTATTTTGTTATTTAATGTGTATTTCTTTTTTCTTATCTGCTGTGTTATATCTGGAGCTGCTGTAACAAGTGAACTCCCCCCGTGTGGGATCCATAAAGTCTATCTTATTTATCTTATCTTACACACTCACACACTCACACATACAGACACACACACACACACTCACATGATCTGTTTTTAGTTATATATGATAAGTTTATCACCGATCCAGCTTTGAAGAACACCAACACATTCTCAAAATATATTTATATTTAACAGCAACTTAAAATACAGATGCCTGCATTTAATGTTGACCTGCATCCATAAAAGTTTTCCTTTTAACAATATTCCAGAATTCCACAATATTTGGGCATTCCCAGAAAACATGGAGACATGTAGCTTTGCCAAGATTACACTTTGGACAGATTAAAGTACAATCAGGCTGTTTCATGTGCACTTTATCAGAGATTATTTATTAATATGAAATCAATATGTATGATATCTATGATGCTTTGTGAGCGCTCCTGTTGGTTTCTCTCGGACGATGCACTTTATGTCGTGTTTGTCCTGCAGGTTGCTGAGTGACGGTGTCAAAGATCAGCTGCTGGTCACCATCCAGAAAACCTTCAACTACAACCGCAGCCAGGCGCAGCAGATCTTCCTCATGGTGATGGAGTGCATGAAGAAGAGAGCTCTGGTAGGTGACAGCACTGACTCATCATTCTGTGTTCAATCATTATCCATCAATAAAACTGAAACTCACCCTGTCATCTGTGTGTCATTATTCATGTTCTCATCACACTAATGACATTGATATATTACTGATTGTTTTCACTCATCATCGGGATGTGAGGACAAATGTAATCTCTGCCGGATCAGAGGAAACATTTCTCTGAGTGAATGAACGGATCAGAGGTCAGATTAATGTTCACCACTCTAACTAGTACTGCACAGGCACACAAGCAACAACAATAACAACAACTATACTAGTAGAGAGAACTGATGATGATCATTTCCAGACCTGGGACAACCCTGGTCTCTGTACTCTCTCTCTCTCTCTTTCTCTCGCTCTCTCTCTGTCTCTCACCCCAACTG